GGCTAACTCACAGATCAAACCCTGAAACAACCTCTGGGCTGATCTAAGTCAGGGCACGGCTAACTCACAGATCGAACCCTGAAACAACCTCTGGGCTGATCTAAGTCAGGGCACGGTGAACGCACATTTGAATGAGAATTTAGCGTATGATTCCCACTCATACGAATTCCATTCAATAGTTTTTAGTGAATCATATATTATTTATCAATATGTAGACAGTATTTTATCGACAAAATACACCACTCGTATTTTTACGAGATACTTAGCTACCTAGTGACTTATCATACATTGCATTGCTCAATATAGACTTGTACTCGTAACAGCTCGTGTGAACTCAAGTAGTCTTCAATATACAGGGGCGGATCCAGGGGGTGGTCATAGGTGCACCGGACATCCCCCTAGCATCGGACATACTTTTACTCTTACGTAATCAGATTTCATTGTTAGGGGGACACCATCTTGGATGTGACGTCATCTTTCAAGAGACCTACTTGGGACATACCCCCCCCCCCCCCCCCCCCCCCCAACTTAACAAAATCCTGGATCTTCCCCTCATAAACGCATAGAGAACCATACAGTATTTTTCATACGCACTACATCCGGGACCTCTTATATTTTCCATATCCTCACTAGTGAAGATATCAATGACGTCTTTCAACAAGTTTTTGTTTGTGAATGTGTCTATAATAAAAAGAAAATTACACGTTGGCTTGGAGACATAAAGTTTATCTTCTCGTGTTGAAAAATATTTCRCTCGTTCGCTTGTGAAATATTTTCAACACTCGAAGATAAACATAYCTTCGCGCCATCGTGCACCTCGAGTCGTACACAAGCTCATGCCAACGAGGCCTCCTGGCCGTGTTCGTGTACGACGAGAGTGAGTGGAATAATCGTTTTATTATATCAACATTCACTTGATCATGAAAAAATAACGCGTTTTTATTTAATTTATATAAAAGATATTCCCAAAAACCTGTCGATAGCTGCACGAATGGAATCCAACCATGAATTTTCTCTACAAATGGTATATGAGCAGATAGCCTGGTAGTAGAGTAGCCAATCAGAGCGCGCGATTGCTCATATCCAAATTGTCTAAATAGTATTTTGTATAATTTCAGACTTGAATATAGAGTTTCTCGAACTGTAATTGGTCGAGCGACCATTGATTCTGAGAAGATAATCACTGCTCGAGCGGTGATTATGAGGTTTTTCAAAGTTTTCCAGATCGGAAGTAATACTAAAACGTTTTTTTATCCTGAATTTCGACTTTTCTCTGATATTCAAGTCTAAAATTATGCTAAATCAATTATTCCCCTCATTATTCCAATTTATAATGTTTTTTAAATATTGTATATTACCAACACGCTAGACACAACCTATACAACTTGTTAAATAGAAATGCGGTTTTTTATCTTTTTTTTTAGAAAATGAAAGGAATTGCCAGCTAAACGTCTCACTTTATCGCTACGAGCGACTGTTTAAAGAAGTTGCAACTATGCTTGATAAGGAAACAAGAAATAACTGGAGAACTCTTGGCAGTAAATTTGGATTGCAACGTGACGAACTGGAACAGATAGTAAGCAATCCAGCAAGAATCCTTTTGGAGGACTACGTGTATCAAACGATGGATGCAGAGGATTTGACGAATGGAAGTTTCCAACAACTTGTAAATGTGGTAGACAAGCCTTCACCATTCCTTCGAGCTTTCGGTACCACTTAACCGAAGTTTATTATTTCAATTTAGTTTCTTTCCTTTTTTCTCAGTTTTCGTTCTCTTTTTATTTCAATCATTTTCCATATTATTCCTTATTTGCTTTTTGCTCTTCTCTTTTCTGTCCGATCGTTACGTTCCTTTTCTTCCTAAACCCACATAATTAATATTCAATTCCATGCATTTGTTTTCGTACCCTGCGAGCAGAGTCTCCTTTGAACTCCTCTACGGGCGAGAGAAGGAAAGGAGTTAAAAGGAGACTCTGTCTCAGGGTATTGTTTTCGTTACCCCTTTTACATTTTCCTATCCTCTTTTCCTCTTCCTTTTTTCTTTTCTTTCTTATTTTATTTTTCTCCACTCCGAGTTTCCAATGCATTGCAATCCATTTCGCATATTGTGAAATAGGCTTCTGATTAAAAAACTTAATAATCCATTCATTCAGCATCATTCAAACTAAGAATTCAAATATTTATTAGGATTTTGAACACAGAATCGCTAAGACATAGYAGAAAACATTTTCCATGATTTCAGAGACAATGAAAAAGTAAAGTTTTCTAAATTTACTGTTGTTCACCTTTTCTTTCAGAAGACGATTGTCGATCCATGAAAGATGTCTTCCCTCCTAGTAGTGAGAAAATGTGGAGACTGTGTTTGAATCTAAACAAAAGCAAAGAAGTTGGTGGTATGAAAAAGTGGGAGCATTTGGCCGCTTGTTGGGGAATAAAACCCGAAATTTATTCCCAGTTTGATCCAAGCCAGAARACAAGTCCTACTGAGATATTACTCAAATGGTTAGTGGATGCACGCCCGGACTTTACTGTTAATGAACTTTGCTATCATTTGGGTAAAATAGGTTGTCATGATGCAAAAGTCTTTTTGGAAGAAAAACTGAAAGAATGGCAATTGCAAAAGGAAGTATATGTCTAAAAGTAAAGAAAACGAAAACGAAAAAGAAAAGAAAACTGGAAGACTGCAAAACTGTGGGTGGCTTATTGCTTTACGGCTCGCCAGGGGCGGATCCAGGATTGTTTTTGAGGGGGGAGGGGGTGCACTTATTTGGCTTATGACGTCGTAATGAGTGATGACGTCAG